AATTGAAGGGCGGTTTGGTCGGTCGCCACTGGCCGCCACTTTGAGACCAAAAAAGCAGAACATTTTTCATTCCCGTCCAATGACCAAATTAACCTTACTTCTTTCTTTTTTTGCTGTTTTGAACGATCTTGTGAGACATAAATTACTCCATAAGGACATTACAATATGCTCAAAACAAATTTGAATATTAGTTAAAAGAATTTGGGATGAGCATGGCCCTCGGCGTCGGAGAGACCCCACCCGGGGCGTCTTCCAAGCCAGTTCTATAAACAACTATAAAGGCCTTGTAAGCCCTTGCCATAGATATTAAATTTATTGTCTATCTAACTCGGGTATGAATTGTACAATAAAATATAGCCTAATGATAAATGTATATATAATCTGATAATAAATTTAGATTTGAATCTCTCATCATCAATATTAAAAAAAATCTCGGGTATGAATTTAAGATTTTAGTTATTGATTACCTGAAATGGAATATGTGAAAATTATTATATTGAATTTTTAATTTATGTGTGAATATTTTTAAGATGGACTAAAATTTTTAATTATTAAGTTTATTTATGACTTTATTATTATAGATTTTAGATTTATTTTAAATTTTTTCTAAAATTTTCATTATTTTTATTTTATATTAAACAAACTTAGGAAAATTTTAAGTTTAGGACGCACAAAAATAGTGAAAGAAATATTCTAAATTAATTTGGGATAAGTATAGATAATAAAAAATTCACATTATGATATAGTAACCTATCAATTAAGGGATATTTAAAAAGGTCTTCAACAAGTATAGGGAGCAAATTATTAATTGACTAGTCAAGTATAAATTTAAATTTTAAAGGATTTTGAGATTTTTTTTTTAGAAGAAATCAAACTACAAATTTCATTGGAGGAAACTATATACAGATACGATATACATATTAATATGTTTTTATATTTTTATATAGGAAGTCTAATAATAAACAATTTATATAAAAAATAAAAAAAAAAAACACAATCTTGATTTGAAGTATCTGATTGAATTGACAAATCATAATATTTGAGGTTGATAGTACACTTTCATCCTTAATTCAAATAGATAATAATTAAAGCTTGATATTTCATCAAAATTTCAAATTCAAATGGAATAGAAGAATGTGAACATAAGAGAGCTATAGCTATATTTTATAATTTATTTCAATTTAGACAAAAAAATCATAATTAATTTTTTTTATTTTGATAAATGACTAAAAATTTAAAGTATAAAGTTTTATCTTTTAGTGATAAAAAGATTGGATAGCCAAGAATTAGTATTTATTTATTTTATATACAAAATCTACCCAAAAATTATATATTTTTAGTACCACCTGAGCTGGCAACATTTTTTATGGAACATGAGGACATGAACAAAGGTTCAAAATTCAAAATACAGCAAGGGTTGTCATATCCTGGACTTCAATCTAAATCCAATCAATCTTTAAATCAATTTATTGGATGTGGTAGAGATGTTAGGATGCAAATATCCAAAAATAATAAGGATATATTGATCCACTTTATTTAAAAAATCAAATCTGAATATATTTAATTCAATTTACTGTTTGATCCTTATCTTGATCTCAAGATGTTAATGAATTCAAATTTTATTAAATAATATGTTTTATGTTTCAAATTAATTTCAATTATATATTGTTTTTTATGCTTTGGGGCTAACATATATGATTCTAGGAGGCTAGAATTGATACAGAAACCTAAGTACATAGTATTGATCGATAAAATTAAAAAAAAAACTGGCTAAAATTGATAAAAAAGTCAAATGTTCAAAATTTTTTTTTTGTCATTAAGCAAATTAATTGCGTTGGATTTACGCATTGATTTACATTCTATTTTTTGAGTAAAGAGAGATTTTCTTAGATAGATAGATAAAAAGGTAGAACGTGAGAAATAGATGTACGAGCTGACAATAGATTTAGGTTCGAATTCCCGCCAATAATAAAAAAAGACAAGAATTTGAAATTGATGCATGTTTAAATTTAAACATATATTAACATTCATTTTATAGTTTTTCACTTTATATATCAGAATTTCGAAAAATTGATGCATGTTTAAATTTAAAAACATACTATTAACACTTCATTTCTAATAGTTTTTCACTTTAATGCATTATATATAAATCATATATACTTATATATATATATAAAAGTCAATAGCCACATTTAGTCTTTGGGAAAATACCATGCATCCTTAACCTCTGGACCTTTAATTCATTTAATGCAATTATTTATACATCAAATATATTAAACGAACAAAAATCACTAAAATCATTCATCCAAATATCTAGGACTAACGTTTCAAACCACAATTTCTTAAATCAAAATAGCTTTTCATCCTTGTTTAAAATGATCTACAAAAATTCATCATTTTATCCTTCATTAGGCAAAAAAAATCAAGCTATTTTTTACTTCATCCGTCTATATAACAGCTGATACAACTACATATTTTTCTTTTAAATTTTGGTCAGATTTTATTACTTCATGAACAAGTTTCAGTAGCGTACAGTTAATTGAACTAAATTACTTTGCCTAATTTACATCGAACATTTAAAAACAATTTTCTACAAATGAAAGGAAGACTTCCAACGTTCAAAATAAAAGAAAACATCTCAACGTTCTCAGTAAACGGGAAATAAAAGTTCATAGCACATTTAGTTTGAAAATACCATGATCTAATTGGACCTTTAATTCATTAATGAATTATTTATACATCAAATATATTTAAAGAAAAATATAAATATTATCAAAATTAGACTAACTGTTCAAACACAATTTTTAAATCAAATAGTTTTATCTGTTAAAATGATTAAAAATTATTATTTTATCCTTATTAGGAAAAAAAATCAAGTATTTTTATTCATCCGTTATATAAAGTGATAAATAATAATTTTTTTTTTAAATTTTGTAGATTTTATATCATGAACAAGTTCAGTAGGTACATAATTGATACTAAATTACTTGCTAATTTAATGAAATTTAAAAAAATTTTAAAATTGAAAGAGATTCAACGTTCAAAATAAAAGAAAACATTCAACGTTCTAGTAAGGAAACAATAGAGGGGTAGGAATTGCCGAGTTGCGGGATTCTAGAAAACAAATCAAACATTCAATTCAATTGCTAGATCTCCCAATATTTTAAAAAGCAGTAAACCTAATGTCAAGATCTATGTTGAATGATACTCCTATTTTTCTTTTCCTTTATTTTCCACCATGAAGACTTATTAATTTTAGTTAAAATATTTTCTTATATATATAAAGATATATAAGATACTAAGAATCTCTTTAAACTACACTAAAAGATAAGATGGAATAATAAAAATTTATTTGAGGTCTCGAATTCAAATTTTAAATATGAAATTTTTTCGGAAGGAGTGCTTTGGCATCGGTATAGAAACTTCGTTGGCTCAAATTCAAAGCTGCAGAATGTTTTTTTTTTTTTTTTATGTCACAAAAATAAGGAAACGAAAATTCTAATTTGTACCATTTTATTATGTGGTATTCTTTTGATGTTATTGAAAATTCTTTTCAATTAATAATTCTGTAATATGATTTATTTGAAAATTATTTTTAGATTTTTTTTTATATTTACAATATTTAGAAAAATCAGTCAAAAAAATTATTTCCAAGGAAAAATTACATCAAAGGAAAATAAATTATTATTTTCGAAGAGAAAATACACATTGAGATAATAAACTTATTAAAATATTATAAATACGTATTTATTAATCTACTAGCTTACTCAACAGGATAGACATAGATCATCGGTTACCATCACCACTCATCTATTACCATCAGTCATTAACAACCACTATATTTTATTATTTCAATATATTTTTCTTATATTTAATAATAAATTTTACAAATATAAATTTTCTATAATTATGAATATTTTTAAAGTGTTAAGTTAAAAATTTTAATATTTTTTTTTAAGCAGTTCTCAATTTTGCAATCAAATGAATAAATAAAATAAGTTACTTGAAAAATGTGTTCCATGAAAAATGTTCTTTTTTTTTTTAAGGGAAAAATATTTTAGAATCCTTAGATTATATCGCAAATAATACATAGTTCTTACTATTTTCAACTAACTTTGAGGTCCTTAGAGGATGTGTGACTGGCTCCAGCAACTCTTTATCATTTTTAATTCCATCCATAAATTAAGCTTTTTTTCTAACAATTACCATGAAAAAATGTAAACAGATCCTTCAATTATATCGAATTTAGCACTTAAATTCACCATTTAAAAAAAAAAAAACTATCTCATCCCTAAATGTTTTATTGGTGAATAAAAATAACTACCTAAAATCTTCGAAAATCCCAAAAAATGGGTTAGAAATAGTGAAGAACGGTAAATGGTCATATAATAAATCCTTAAAATCTAGAATATTCTATGAAGAACATACTTTAATAAAAGATTAGGGTTGTGATAGTAATTTTATTTGGATGTAGTATGGTTTAAGTGTTAATTTTGATATTATTCAGGAACTTATTTATATATATATATTTTTTTATATTTTGATAGAAAAAAACTTTATTTTTAGATGGAAACACCTGAAATTGAGATGGAAGCAAAAATTAACGACTTTAAAATTAATTTCTATAAAAATGTAGCAGAATTTGTTAATTTAATTATATGTAGGTGCTTCAAATTATTTTTTCTTTTTTAAAAAGTGTTTTTCAAAATTTTTCTAAAACAGATAGCTTCTAAATTAAAGATAATAATATAATTTGATTTCGCTTAATTTAATTAGTAACACTGACAGTCTGACACAACTTAATCTGAAATAAAATTAACAAAATCTGTGTGGTGACTTTATAGGATAAAATTGTAAATAAAGAGAAATGCAAGGGCAAAAGGTGAGAGAAAAACAAAGCGCCAGCGTTCGAACAGAACTATCGTATGATTGGCTCATAAAGGGACCCACCTACTATGATGTGGACTCCACACTCTCCTTCTTTGTCTTCCTTTATATGCTAAAGATTCTCTCTGTGTTCTCTCACAATTTTCAATTTCTTCATCATCATATATCAGAAAACTCCATTTCCCTTCGTTTTTCATAAATTAAAAGGAAAAGGAAAAGCTCGTCTTCAAACCAAAGGAAAAACAACTTTCGATCGATCTCTCAGGTAAGTAAGCAGTCTTTCTCTGTATAATTTTTCTTGTCGTTTTGATTCTTTTCTTTCCTCTGCATCTTCTTCAGTTTCTAATTTTCGTTTTTGGTTTGATCGTCTTCTTGCATGATAATTATTAGATATCAAGTTGGGTTATGATTAATCCCTTCCTTTCTGTTTCTCGCTTCCTGTGCTTACTTGTTCAAACTCAGTTTAATATCATGATCAACTCTTGGCAATTATGTGTTTGTGATTTTTTTTTATTTCTTTTAATTTTGTGATTGATGCTTTTACTTTTTTGTGATCTTTCAATCTGATGAGGATCAATTTCATATTCAAATGCATATATTTAATTGGAAAAAGCCAATTAAAAGGGAGAAAATCGAAAAATAATTGAGTAGTTATTGAGGTGGAGTTAATATTTCACTGCAGATAATTGACTTGTTTTGTTTGAAGGAAGAAAATGGATTCATCGGTTTTTCTTTTTCCACCGCTTTGTTTGCTGCGGGTTAGGTGGAGATTTAAAATTAGGAAGTCAATTTAGAATTTTAGATTATTCTAAAATTATCTTTTTCTCCAGAAAAAATAAAAAATTAACTCCTTGATCCTTGATTGATTTGTTCAAACACGATGTCGTTTCATGGCCTAGGAGTCTCTCTACTCTCTATTTATTTATTTACTCAGTAGATCTAATCTTGTTATTGAGGTTGCATTTGATGAGCAGTAACAGAATCTAATATAAATTATATTTATTTACATTAAATTTATCACTAAATAAAGTTTTAAGTCATTTGTTAATTTTGGAAATAGGAAAAAACTTTTGGTAAATTTCTTAATTAATTTCGAAGAAGGAAAAAAAAAAAGAAGGCCATAATATAAGTTATTCCTAATTTTTATTTTACTAAATATATAATAATTTCTATTTTTTAATTAATTGTCACCAGTTTAGGAAATTGCTGGGGCAAATAATTCAAATGCTGAACAAAGAGGAATTCTTATTAAGTGTCACCATTTCAATGCTGACCAGCACTTACTAAATATATCAAGTTTGGCCCCACTTATTGTTGCAAATTGTACCCATAGCCCACTTGATATATATATATATTTTTTGCTTATTTCTTATATTATTTATTGAAATTCAGCCTGGATAAAATAAAGTCAATTTTTTTTTATAGAAATAGCAAGTGATTTATTATTTTATGGAATGCGTTAGCAATTGGGATGCTACTGTTATACTTTTCTTTTTCGGCTTATCACAGCACAATAATTTTTTTTTAACAACCACTCTCCAATGTAAAAGAAATATTTTTTTTTTTGTCCGTAGGAAAATTAGTATGTTTTATGTTTTGGTAATATTTAAAATAAAACTTATTAAAATATGATGAAGAATATTATTATAATGTTTTAAATTTAATACTCTGTTCGTTTGTATCTAGTTTGACTTTCATAAATTTAATAAAAATCCTAATTTTACTTTTTTTTTTCTCTCTAATATACCCTTTTAATGATCCATATTTCAAAATTATAGAATTAACTAATATAGGATGCAATAACAATTACCTTGTTTGTTTTCCGGGTTTAATAAGTTTTTCTTGAATTTTATAATTTAATAAAAAAAAAAGTAGGAGTTGCTGATAAAAAAAATTTTGATTGTTTTAAAATTTGACTAATGCTAATAGTAATGTATTTCTGATAAAGATTCACATTGAACAGTAGAATAAAACTTAAAAGTTTTTTTTTTTTTTTGAAAACAAATAGAACTATAATTTAAGATAGTTGAAAAAGGAAAGTAGATATATTATTGTGGAAGCAAAGGATTAATGTCAATGTTCTGTGTTTTATTGTATCTTTTTTATTTTTATTTATTTATTATGTGTTGCTTTATATATCATATGGATTAAATTTGCTTAAAAATCTACTTTATAGGCCAAGTGCGAACTAAATAAATGAAAATAAAAGATTTTAAATATTATTTTCACTTTATCATTTTTTTTTCTTTCGCGTATGATTAAAAATTAAAAATACTTTTATTTTAATAACTATTTATTTTTATCAGTTTATCCACCGTCGATAGATCTAATCTAGGCAATCCATCCATTGTTCCTTCCGTTGTCATTAACACATTTGACCATGCCAAAATTAATTTATGTAAAAATAAAATTCTTGAAGAAAAATTATTGGAAAACTGATCCAGACAACACGTTAGAGAAAGAGCACAGTTGTTTAGGATAAAAAATGATTTTTATGTCCAGCTTAGCGTAGATGTCAGCTTTTCAACGGAACTTATTTAAGAATCTAGTGAAGGTGCTTTTATAACGGCATAATTTGATATTGAGTAATGTTTACGTTACAAATTGAGGTTTAAAAACAATAAATTGGTCACTGTTAAATTCGGAAACGATGGGTAAAAAGCAGCCGATATGCATGTATTTTGTCATAAGCTTATTGTTAAGGTGCATTATTGGATTTTGTTAAAGCATCACTTACATTTGATTTTTTGTTTTTCTTTTTTTTTTTTAATTATTAAAATCGACAAAGGATGAACCCTTTTTTTCCCCTGCATTCTTTGCTTCTCTTGCCATCATATATTACTCTCCTTTTTTACACTTAATACGATATGTAGTGTATGTAGGCAAAACCAGCTACCATAAATAACAGTAATTTCGATGTGATTATGTAATTAATAAAAGAAAGAATTGACCATAATCTCCAAAGTTTTGGATTTTCTTTTCATCATTATACCACAAATGAGTAAATAGGTAAAATTAGAAAAAGGGTGGTTGCTTGAAATGTAAGAAGTGTACGTTCTATAGGTTTCAGAAAACAAACCATCATTTTACTCATTTTTTTTCAAAATAGTAATAAGTAAAAAATAGTATGCGTTTGTCTTTATAGTTATAACGGAGTTAAAGTTCATTTGTAAAACAGGAACTTGATAGCCAATTAGCTATAATGAAAATAGAAATGGGTTCAGTAGATTGAGCTGTCACGCGTTTTAAACTGGAAAAAGAAATAAAACAAAATAAGCAAAAAGGGGACAGAGATGGGTATGGATTGCCTAACTTTAGTTGGATCCCTCCATTATGGTTCTTTTTGGTTCTTCTATATTATTGATATTGGAAAAAAAAAAAAAATAGAAAGAACGAAAGAAAATTAAAAAAGAAAGCTAAACTGGAATTAAGCAGTCTCTTTTGGTTATGGTGTAAATGTTTGATTGGTGCATCTTATCTTCATCTTCGTCAGAATTATAAGGGAAGTTTTTGTTTAGTTGGGTGAGATTTGAAGGGCCATTGTGTGGGTTTGTATTGTGGACAGACATCAAAGAAGGAATTATTTGGGACCCATAAAATTAATGGTGTCACATGATAAGATCACACTATAAATCAGAGCAACAATTCTGGTTTTTGGATTTTATATGGCTCCTAGCTACTGAAAAAAAAAAAAAAAAAAAAAAAAAAGAAAATACAAAATCTGAAGTCGGATAAAATCGTCCTATAAAGAAAATTTCCATATAAAATAATTAATATTCTAATTTAATCTACGTCTTGTAAAAAATTGAACTGAAAAGGTTTTTAGTATTTCTGTTGATTATGAGAAGAGGCGATAGATTTGTAGACATTAACACACAGGTTTCCGATGTTTTGTGTCTCTCTTTCACTTCTTTTAAACCCAAATTAATTATACTGGTTTCAAGATTAAGAAAACCTATGTATATATACAATTTTTACTTCGTATAAATAATATCTATTACTAGAAACTATTCATTTTTAAGATAATTCTAGAACCTTAACAAAAATGAAATAATAAAAACCTTACACTTATTTGAAATATGTTTTGAATAAAGTTATGACAATAAAAAAATGATTTAAGTAAATGGGAAGTTTGGCAAAAATAAGAATGTACATAATTTTCAATGGGCGCAGTATGCTAGGATATATGAGCGCAAGACAGCTTTTAGCCTTACAAAAAAAAAAAAAAAAAAAAAAAAACAAATCTGAGTCGGATAATTATCTATTAAAAAAATTCCCATAAAAATAATAATTATTCAATTCAATCTACTGTCTTGAAAAATTGAAATTGAAAGTTTAGTTTTTGATTATGGAAAAGGCATGCTAGATTTGTGACATTAACAACATAGTTTTCGATGTTTGTTCCTCTCTTTTCCTCTTTTAAAGCCCAAATAATTTACTGTTTCAAGCTCTTAAGAAACCTTGTATGATATAATTTTTTTACTCGTAAAATAATTCTTTTACTAGACTACATTTTTAGATAATTCTAGGAACCTTAAAAAAATGAAATAAAAAAAACCTTACATCTTATTGAAATATGGTGTTGAATAAAGTTATTGGCAGAAAAAAAAAATGAGTTAGTTAAGATGGGAGAGTTTGGGCAAAAATGACAATGTGCATAATTTTCAATGGGCGGCAGATGCTTAGGACTTATGAGCGCATAGAAACAGCTTTTAGCCTGTACATGTGGGTTCTTGAAATTTTATTCCTATTAGCTTAGCTAATTCACTTGGCATGTATCTGGATTTGTTCTATTTATTTTTCTGTTTGAAGTTGAAATTTAGAAAAAAACAAAACATCTTCTTGTCCCTCAATTTGCTTTTTCTTTTTGAATTTCGGAATTAAGTTTTATTTATGTACCTGGGCATGTGCTGCATGTCTGTCTTTGACAGCCGAGTGCTAGAGTTTTTGTTTTTTATTTATAAAAATTTATTTTGTTCTTTCTTGTAGTTCTTAATTCTGGATCAACAAATTCACAATATGAATTCATTTTTAAAGACAATGAACAAGAAATCCTTGTTTGTCCATTATAAAATCATCTAGTCATTGGAAAATAGTAAAGCTATTGTTGGTTATTAACTTACTATAGCCAGTCATATCGGAACTGGTTTACTGGTAGGTGTCCATTTTGGATATGGAATTACATTTCTAATGTAAAATTTCAGATCTAATCTGTCTTCTGAGCTTGTGATATGTGATACAGAACAACATTCTTCAATGTTTTTTATACGCCAATATTATTTTATTTGTCTTGCCAAAAAATTTACGTAAACAAGCACATGTAAAATGTTCTGCTTTATCTCTGCTTAAGTTGGCTCAAAGTTAACTGTCAACTTGTGACAATTTCAGAGGTACAAATCTAAGTATGGAAGACGAGACTCAAGTTATCTCAGAGATACCTGTTGTGAAAGTTCAATCTGAGGAAATAACAGATATTATCAAGGTATGTTATAGACTTCTTTCTATTTTTTTAGAAGTGCTTTTATTGCCATTATGAAAATATTTGATGTTTTTCCATACTTATGATGTGGAAAGTCCTTTTAATTTGACTGTCAATGATACTCGCCTGAATCTTTATTTTAGTTGCTTAATTTTTTTTTATGCTTTTTAATTTGAATTGATTAATAATCTTTATTTTTACATACACCAAACCAGTAACAGATTGTTACCTAAAAATACTATCACAATTTGGTGCTATTTTATCCTTCCCCTTAGTGAATTGATACAAATACCATCCTTTGAATCAAAAAATTTTATTGGATTTGTTTGGTGTATAGGCCTACTATATACTGGGAGTAGGCAACTCCTATTAAAACAATTATTTCAAGTATCATTCTCTCTGCAATTCTGCGACCACTGGCAATCATTATATTGATCCTGTTGACGTTACAGGCAACAAATGGAGATTTGCTAAAAGTAGCTAAAGAGGGGAAGAAAGAAGATGACGAGACTGATGGAGAATTCATAAAAGTAGAGAAGGAGTTGCTTGATGTGAAGGATACCTCTCATGCAGCCGAGGCAGCGACTGCTGATGATGAGAAGCCATTGTCGATAGAAAGAAACTTAAGTAGTTCAACCAGAGAATTATTGGAAGCACAGGAGAAGGTTAAGGAACTTGAACTTGGATTGGGAAACATAGCTGGAAAACTTAAACATTCTGAATCAGAAAATACACAGATGAAAGAGGAGATCTTGCTTGCAAAAGAGAAGTTGGAAACAAGTGAAAAGAAGTATGAGGAGCTTGAACTCGATCATAAGAAATTGCAACAGCAGATGATTGAGGCTGAGGAGAAATATAGTGCACAGCTCCAAACTTTGCATGAGGCACTGCAAGCACAAGACTCTAAGCACAAGGAATTGATTGAGGTGAAGGAAGCATTTGATGGCCTCAGCCTCGATCTTGAGAACTCGAGAAAGAAGATGCAACAGTTGGAACAAGAGTTGCAATTTTCTGAAGGTGAGGCAAGGAGGTTCGAGGAGTTGCACAAACAAAGTGGTTTACATGCCGAATCTGAGACACAAAAGGTTTTGGAGTTTGAGAGGCTTCTTGAAGAGGCAAAATCAAATGCAAAAGCAGTGGAAGATCAGATGACTACCCTTCAGGAGGAAGTCAAGGGCTTGTATGAGAAGCTTGCGGGAAACCAGAAAGTTGACGAAGCCCTTAAGAGCACAACAGCAGAACTTTCAGCAGTTAATGAAGAATTGGCACTTTCAAAATCACAACTGCTGGATGTGGAGCAAAGACTCTCTTCAAAGGAGGTTCTTGTTACTGAATTGACCCAAGAATTGGACCTGAAGAAAGCTTCAGAATTTCAGATGAAGGAAGATGTCTTGGCATTGGAAACTTTGCTTGGAGCAACAAAAGAAGATCTCCAAGCAAAGGTTTCTGAGTTGGAAGGCATCAAGTTGAAGCTGCAGGAGGAAGTTGATGCAAGGGAATTGGTTGAAGCCCAGTTGCAAGACCAGAAGGCACAGGTCTCAAATATACATGAAGAACTGGCTAAGGTAATGAAAGAAAAAGAAGCTCTTGAAACAACTGTGACAGATCTCACTAGTAATGCAGCAGAAATGAAGATATTATGCAATGAGCTCGAAGACAAGTTGAAGATTTCAGATGAGAATTTCTCTAAAGCAGATTCTCTTTTGACCCAAGCTTTGTCAAATAATGCAGAGCTTGAACAGAAAGTGAAGTCTCTGGAAGATCTTCATAATGAATCTGGAGCTGTTGCAGCATCTGCTACTCAGAAGAATCTGGAGCTTGAGGATCTAATCGAAGCTTCAAATCAAGCAGCAGAAAATGCAAAATCACAACTGAGAGAGCTTGAGGGACGCTTTATTGCAGCAGAACAAAGGAGTTTGGAGCTTGAACAACAATTGAATTTAGTTGAATTGAAAAGCAGTGATGCTGAAAGAGAAGCGAGAGAATTCTCTGTGAAATTATCTGAACTCAGTGGTGCACTGAAAGAATTGGAGGAAGAAAAAGAACAGTTGAGTCAGCAGAATCAAGAACACCAGGCAAAAATAACTCACCTTGAATCCTCTCTAAATGAATCATCATCAAGGAGTGCAGAGCTTGAGGAGGAGTTGAGGATTGCTAAAGGGAAGGGTGCTGAACATGAGGACCGAGCAAATATGAACCATCAGCGCAGCATTGAACTTGAAGAGTTATTCCAGACATCTCATTCCAAAGTAGAAGATGCTAGCAAAAAGGTAAATGAGTTGGAGTTGTTGCTTGAAGCAGAGAAGTACAGAATCCAGGAACTCGAAGAGCAGATTAGCACATTGGAAAAGAAATGTGGAGATGCAGAATCTGAGTCCAACAAACACTTGGACAAGGTATCTGAACTTTCATCTGAGCTTGAGGCATACCAAGCAAGGGCATCAAGCCTGGAGATTGCACTGAAAACAGCTGACGAAAAGGAGAGAGAGCTGACAGAAATCCTGAATTCAATAACTGATGAAAAGAAAATGTTAGAAGATGCATCAAGCAATTCCGACAAGAAGCTGGCTGAAGCTGAGAATCTTGTTGCAGTCTTGCGCAATGAATTAAATGTGGTACAAGAGAAGTTAGAGGGCATTGAAAATGATCTAAAAGCTGCTGGATTGAGAGAAAGTGATATTCTGGTGAAACTCAAGTCTGCTGAGGAGCAATTAGAGCAACAAGAAAAACTAATAGAGGAAGCTACTGCAAGAAAGTCGGAGCTTGAATCATTAAATGAATCACTAGCAAAGGATTCAGAAATCAAACTTCAAGAAGCTATCACAAACATCACTAACAAGGATTCTGAGGCAAAACTCCTGGTTGACAAACTGAAGATTCTTGAAGACCAGGTAAAGTTATATGAAGAGCAGCTAGCTGAAGCAGCTGGGAAATCTGCATCTTTGAAGGATGAGTTGGATTTGTGCTTGCTAAAAGTGTCTTCTTTAGAAACATCCAATGAAGAACTTAAAAAACAGATCCTTGAAGCAGAAAATAAAGCTTCCAACTCTTCCTCAGAAAATGAACTCTTAGTAGAGACAAATAATCAGCTCAAAAGCAAGGTTGATGAACTTCAGGAATTGCTGAATGCTGCTGTATCTGAGAAGGAAGTATCAGCTCAACAACTTGCGTCTCACATGAGCACTATTACAGAAATATCAGACAAGCATTCAAGGGCTCTAGAACTTCATTCTGCAACTGAGACCAGAATCGTTCAAGCAGAAAAAGATTTGCAAGAAGCCATTCAGAGATTGACTCAAAGAGACGCAGAAACAAAAGATTTAAGTGAGAAGCTAAACGCTGTTGAAGGCCAAATAAAATTGTATGAGCAACAGGCTCATGAAGCATCTGCAGTTGCAGACACTAGAAAACTTGAGCTGGAAGAGACTCACCTGAAATTAAAGCATTTGGAGAGTATAGTTGAGGAACTACAAACCAGGTCAAGTCACTTTGAAAAAGAGAGTGGAGGGCTTGCTGAGGCAAATTTGAAGCTCACTCAGGAACTGGCCTTGTATGAGTCGAAATTGGATGATTTAGAGGCAAAACTATCTGGGGCACATGCTGAGAAGAATGAAACTGTAGCACAGCTTCACGCTTCAAAGAAAGCCATAGAAGATTTAACTCAGCAGCTTGCAGATGGACAGAGACTGCAGGCTCAGGTTTGCTACAATCCCTTGTTATGTCTTGGTAAATCGTGGGTGATTTAGTTGCATAAAATCTGACTTAATAATTATCAAATTGCAGATATCTTCAGTTATGGAAGAGAATAATATGCTTAATGAAACATATCAAAATGCAAAGGAAGAACTTCAATCAGTGATCACTGAGCTTGAAGAGCAACTAAAAGAGCAGAAGGCAAGTGAAGACGCCCTAAAGTCTGAAATAAACAATCTCAAGGCGGTGACAGCTGAGAAAGCAGCTTTGGTTACCAGTCTAGAGGATTTGGAAAAGAAATTGACAACAGCAGAGGCTCGACTGAAAGAAGAGGTATCTAATATGAAACTTTTTATGACTTGAGATAAGACCAAAAATAAGCTTTTGATGTTCAATTGAAGTTAATTGACCAAAATTTGATACTGTTGCTGCTTATAGGTTGAAAGGGTTCAGGCAGCAGCTACTGCAAGAGAAGCAGAGTTAACTTTGAAACTAGAGGACCATGCACATAAAATCCATGATAGAGATATATTAAATGATCAAGTACTACAACTTCAGAAAGACTTGCAACTTGCTCAGAGCATTGTCACTGAACAGGTTAGCACTAATTTTATCCTTCATTTTGCTTTTTGTTACTTCGAAATATCTGATCTTTAATTGAGAATTTGGAATAAGAAACAGCTGTTATCTTGGTATTATTTAGCACTTGGAAGTCATAGATCATGAGGTATTCAAAATGACCGTTGTATAATTTCTCTTTGATGTCCTACCAAACAGAAGGAAGCAAATTTGCAAAATGATTTAGAGAGAGAAACAGCTTTGAAGAAATCCCTTGAAGACCTTGAATCTAAGAATAAGCAAATCGTACTTCTAGAGAAGCAAGTTAAGGAGCTTGAGCAGAAATTGGAACTTGCAGATGCAAAATTATTAGAAAAGGTCAGTTTGTGCTCATATACATGCTAAATTATTTCTGATCGGTCACATTCACGTACACACAAGTGTGCTGGCGCACATAAATGTAGTATACTGTATCATGTAGTGGTCGGAAGTAAACGGCCATGACACACTTGATTCATCTCCATTGTGCATGGAAATAGGTATACAAGAATACAGCCGAGCAGTAGCATCAGAATAAGCTATATCTTCCAGCATAAATCAGACAGTTATTTACATTTTCACATGTTGCAGGGTGAAGCAGCTTCTCACAAGGATGGAACGGAGATCAAATCCAGAGACATCGGATTAGCCTTTTCCACTCCCACAAAAAGGAAGAGTAAGAAAAAGTTAGAGACTACCTCTGCCGAAGCCTTGACCTCTTCCGAAACACATGCTCAAACTGCAGAAGCTTCTCCTGTCATCAACTTAAAGTTTATTTTAGCAGTGGCATTTGTATCTATCATCATTGGCGTAGTTCTCGGGAAGAGGTATTAGTTTTGGTTCTGAATTTTGACTTGCTATATATTCAGCTTCTTCTTTCCTTTCTTTTTTTTTTTTTTTTTTTTTTTTTTTTTTTTTTTTTTTTTTTTTTTTTTCAGCGACATGTAGCTCAGATATAAGACATATTTCCAGCAATAAAATCAGACAGTTAATATACATTTCCAATGTATGCAGGTGAAGCGTTTACTCACAAGGATGGAACGGAGATAAAATTCAAGAGAGAACATCGATAAATTAGCCTTATTCACTCCACAAAAAGAGAAGAGTAAATAAAAAGTTAGAGACTACCTGCTGAAGCCTTGATCTGTCGAAAACATGAGACGTACAAACTGCAGAAGCTTTTACCTGATCATCAACTTAAAGTTTCAATTTAGCAGTGGCATCGTATCTAATCATATTGCTTAGTGTCTCGGGAAGAGTATAATATGTTGTTTTCTTGAATTTTGATTCTATAATATTGCTCTTCATTTCCTTATCTATTTTTTTTTTTTTTTTTTTTTTTTTTATTTTATATTTATTTAGTTTTATAATCTTTATCGAGTGAAGGTTTCTATTCTTCTTTAGTGATGCATACGTTTTGATTCATGGACAATAGCCGATACTTGAAAGCTTGTGTTGGATTGATAACTGTAGTAGACTTTTTAGCAGGTCCTGTTTATTGTATGTTTAAAAGGGGAGTTGTTTTTTATATAATTATGGTTGAGAGATATAAGGTCCACTGTAACAATTTTTTTTTTTTTTTTTTTTTTCTATTTTTTATTATTTATTTTTATCTTTATCAATGTTCCTTTCTTTTTATGGATGCATAGTTCTGCCATGCATAGCCATACTGGAAGCTTGTTTTGTGTACTGTGTAGCTTTTACAGGTCTTTGATGTTGTTAAGGGAGTTTGTTTTTCAATATCATCCCTTACCTGAATGCATAGTTAAAAATGTTTGATTTGTGTAATTCCAAGTTTGTATTTAGTTTATTTGATTGTGTTGCAAGTTTCTTATCACTTTGTCAACTCGGAATTGCTACCCTGTAATTACCAGTTCACCACCAATAGCAAGGGTCCAATCTCTTTAACCGGAAGTTTGGTAGGAAAAGCTTTTTTCCTGTGTATACGACCTGGCGCAAATCCAGATTAATTAGGCAATGGACTTTGAATACCATATGATTTCCACAAAAACAAAAAAAAAATGGCATTAACTGCTAACACAAGGCGGTACTGTCCAGTTTAAGCATATAGTGATTTTTACCTTGACTAGATTATTTATCACGGCACTTCTTAAAAAAATATATTTTTTTTATTATTATTTCAAAAAAATATTAATAACAATATTTATTGAAAAAAACCGAAAATATTAATGATATTACAATTTTATTTTATTTTTTGAAATGAATATTAGAATTGTATTTGTTACTTCAAAATAAACTAAAACGGTTTATTACTTTGATTATATTAAAATTTATTAATTATTAGAAAAACTGAAAAATATCATTAAGTAATATTAATTTCAGCTCCATCCGAATTAAAAAGGTTAAATTATAAAGAAATCAAAAAATAAAAACAGATTATAAAATATTAATGGTAGATATAAATGATATTATTATTTAATTTATTTTTTTGAAATAATATTCATAATTAATGATATTAATTTTAATTCTACCAATGTCTATCAATGATATTTAAAAAATAATTTCCATTAAATCACAGCTTGCATTTTACACAGGAACTGCAAAGGAACTATACCTGATCTGCACGAACTTCCCAATAATATCCGTAAATTACAAAAATGTTTTTGGCAAGAGACAGACATTACTATATGTAAATTCAGGTACATCCGAACTGGTGGGAGAGACAGATAAGATATCTTGGCACCACCAAGAACGGTAAAAACAGATTATAAGGAATCAAATGAATACCAAGCTTCGCTTGGGATTAACATGATCAAGCAAAACCAACAACAAATAAAAATACCAAATCGTAAGTCTGCGGTTTGGAAAGTTTTTGAGCAGTTTGAGCATATACTTGCTTGGTCCAAAATTTAAAATTTTAAAATATCAATTCATCATCCACAACAAATACAAAAACATATCAAATACAACATCTAAGCTATAAACATGCAAACATAAAAAAATGACGCAGTCTTTACCAGTGTTTAATCATTAAACATGATTTTTCATCAAACCAACAGCCGGTTTGCAGTTTAATTGATTCGACTGGCTGTCCAAACCGATATTAAGAAAACTGATTTTTTTTTTTTTTTTTTTTTTTTTTTTTTTTTTTTTTTTTTTTTATTTTTTTTTTTTTTTTTTTTTTTTTTTTTTTTTTTTTGGGTGAAGAAAAGAATTCTCCCATTAATCAAATTCGAATTTTGGTAATCAAAATTGCACATTTTATGGACTCCATTATTGGTGTATGTAAAGAGATACAAAAATACAAGCAGGCAAAGTAGAATGGAGACTTGCAAAGCAATTCATGTTGAGAAAGCCAAACTTAAAATGAACCAAAACTGAATCGAACCAGTTCAATCCAGTTAGAATTCTTAACTATTTTTGGAAAATTAGAATTTATTTTTGGAGTTTAATAAAAGCCAAACTCAACTGAAAAATATTCTCTATCGAAACTAAATAAAACTGATTTTTTAAAAGTCAAATCAACCCAACCGGGTTGGTTTGCAGTTCGGTTTTCCCGAACTGAGCTTTGCCCTAAGAGAAGGCTGAGAGAGCATCATGAGAACGGTTTTGCTGCTATCTCGTTTTGTTGTTTCACAACTACCTCCTGTTTGTGAGATAATAATAATAATAATAATAATAATAATAATAAAATAACAAAAGCTGGGAATTTCCTCTGTCACAGATGAAATATCCACTTCTCCTGAAGATAAAACTGTGTTTCCAAAATCACAGCACTGAAATGTGTAATATTTTGCATCATCCCACCAATTCAGTTGCTTTCTAAGCAACACAGAATGGAATGGCCCTTACAAAAAAAATAAAATAATAATAATAATAATAAAATAGAGGAAAAGGATAAACTGCAGGAGTACTTAACCAGGTTGTCTGAATTCACAATCTTAAACACTAGTATCCACATGATAGTTAGATGAACCCTTCAAACTTCAAGCGAGACTAATTCATAGGTTCTAATCAACTAAAGCAACAATATTTAACTTAAAACTATAATATTTTCTAAGTTGATATAGGAGCATAAACAACAGAGCATCATACTTGGTCAGAGCTGTACAATAGCTTCAAACATAAACATTTACTACAATACCTTTCTGCAGTTTATAGCGAAGCAAGAGTTCTCCAGGAACACCGATGATGCTTTGGTTATTACATCAATTTTCATTTTCCTTTTTACTTAAATTCCTTCAGTCCATCAAAAATCTCGAAATCATCAAACCCTGCAAATTTAACCATGCTTTTAATTTTATTATGAAAAGGCAGTTAAGGGATTATTTTTTAAATCTAACAACTGATATTACCAGCACCCCAGTCTTCAACAACATCAACAGGCGATCCTGTGTTAGCAGAAGGAGGGGGAACTAGAGACATCCAATCTCTGTTGTCATTGTCTTCTAAATAAAGCTCACTTTGCATGATCCAGTCTTCAACGAGACTAATATTGTCAAATGATATAGGGTCCAAAGGAAGCTGGTTTTTGTTTTCATCAACCCTACAGAAAAGTCAGTTAAGAAAGGAGCAAGATTTTATTTTCAAACCAACTGTCAAAATACCAACTATAGATCTGGTTACAGGCCATTGTCTTGCTACTTACTTTTCCTTGAGACGCAAATTGTACTGTACAAAGATAAGATCACTCAGCCTTTGACGCTCTAGGCAGTTTTTGGTGGCATGTACCTTTTCAAAAGGAATATGATTGTGCTTGCACCCAATTGAACTACAAGTTTGACTGAGAATACGAAGGGCCAAACGGGCCAAATTTGGACAGGCACCACCATATGTAGACCACCATTCAGCTAAAAAAAGGTATGTCAAAGAAATCAGCTAAACATAAATACTAAAGGAACTAAATTTGCAAGTCTGAACTCTGATACAAATTGAAAGATGTTTTGAAGGGTAGATGCCATATTCTAATTGCAAGCGTGAAATATGAGAGACAGCCTTAGAGGCATACCCTGAAAGAAACTACCATATTTATCAAAAACCATTGAAAAAAAAAAAAAAAAAAGAAAAAAAAAAATGAAAGCACACCATATGTAGAACAAATTAGACTAAAAAGAGTATGATTCAAGAAATCAGACTTACAAATATTAAAAGGAACTAACTTGTGTGTGTCAAGTCTGAAAAACTGATAAAAAAAGTTGAAAGATGTGTTGAAAGGTAGATGCAATAGTATTACAACTAAATATATGGCGATGATGCATTGAATATGAAGATGAACAGCCTTAAGAGGCAATCCCTGAACAAAGGTACTAATCATATTTAATCAACTAAAACCCGAATTGTAAAAAAAAAATAAAAAAGAAAAAAAAAAAAAAAAAAAAAAAGAAAAAAAAAAAGAAAAAGAAAAGAAATAAAAACATGTTATTGCTCCCATAATACTATAATTATAGTTGATAATAATAAACAATCTAAAAAAAAGCTCCTCACCGGGAAGCAGAGTTTCTCTTGCTCTAATTGCCATCTTCCTCCCAAGATCTCCCACAGCATTCTTGTATGAGTTTAATTCTTTCCCAGTCTTATCTTGGACATCCACATCGGGTACCAATCTCTCTATGCAATCAAACACTCTTGACAAAATCTCATTATGCACTTCTCCTTCAATGCTATAAAAGAACTTCGGGTTAAGGAAGAAACCTGCAGCATGAAGAGGAGGATGCTTTTGTTGATCCCACCTCTTATCTATGATATTCCAATAGGTCATGTAATCCTCTCTCTTAACTAGTTCTCTCTTAATTGTTTCTTTCGCTAGATACATGCCTGCAAAAACATATCCCATTGCAGCTTTCTTTTTACTACTAACTATTCCTAAAACCCGCAAGAGCGGACTCGTTAAACGGATGATCGAAATGCATGAAGACCAAAATGACCTATTACTAATAATATCTAACATTGCTAATCCTCCCGGTTGCTTCGCATGTGGGCAATCCATCCATTCCTGTGAAGTAACCATATTTTGCAAGTTGAGTTTAAAATCAGCCATCCTTTGCAACATGGTGAAGTTAGTAGCAGAACGAGTTAATCCCTGTTGAACGATGTCTTTTCCACCTGTAAACTTTCTCATCATATTCAAAACTGCACCATGATTGTAGACAAATCTTGTGACAGATCTAGCCTGTTCAATTACTCCCTTTATCCAATCGAGTTTTCGAAAATCCTCTAGTATTAGATCAATACAACGAGCTGCACAAGGAGCCCAATATAGAGAAGGAAAAGTATCCATAAGTTTCTTGCCAGCAACATTATAATGTTCATCACCATTAGTAATCACCTGCAAAACATAATTGGCACCAACTTCTTCCACTATCTGTTTAAGCAATGCATGCAGATCATTTGTAGAGTATATGGCTTGTGATGCATCCACAGATTTCAAGAATACAGTTCCTTGACAACAATCCACCAGAAAATTTAGTATGGTTTTACCACTTTCTGAATTCAATTCTTCAACCAAGATGGTACAACCTGTCCTAGCCCATACTTTCTTATATTGATCAATGTCATTTTTTATTTCTTCCACTAAATTTTTCAATATCCAACCACGGAGATCATGATGTGAAGGTGCCACTACCCCTGACACTCCAGAAGAAATCATATCAATCAACCGTTGGAAATAGATTGAGTCCAGTGCATCTAAATTTGCTCCTATATCATAAAGGAATCGACCCATTGTCATGTGAATAGGCTTCTCAACAATTTTCAAATTCACTGCATTCAAAGGATCAACCTGAGCAACAAGTGCAGAAGTTTTACCTCTTCCCCTCTTCCTTTTGTCCAAATTTCCACGATTTATCCTAACTTCTTCATCTAATGAGACATTGGAATTCAGTTCAACAGAACCTGGAGCTTCAGTATATTCGTAATCATCATCAACATCATCATCATCATCATCATCATCATCATCATCATCCCCATCCCCATCACCATCACCATCACCATCACCAAATGTATCTCCATCACCGTTAGGAGCTGGAGGTGTCCCAACATTGTTCACATTTTCCATGATAACTTTCTGTTTCTTCTTTTGCCTCTCTACAACCTCCTTTAAACTCTCTTGCATCAAAAGGCGAACATCCGGTGGAACTTGGACACAAACAGGCGCAGCGCCTTTTCGACCAGCAAGATGCTCCTTTAATCTATGAATGCCACCACCTTTAAACACTTTACCGCAATATTTACACTTAAGTTGCACCTTGTCACCCTGTTTCAACATTTGGCAATATTTCCAAGCCAAGTCCTTTTTTTGGCGGGTAGTACGTACGGTTAATGGAGTATCAAAGTCAACTGCCAAAGGTATTGCTTCTTGAGTGACCAAAGCCTTATTCTGTCTTTGGATCTGTTTTGCAGAATGGGCATCAAGCACTTGTTGCATCAAAATGCGAACTTCAGGAGGAACCCTCAGACACATTGGTCCTCCACCCTTACGACCTGCAAGATGCTCCTTAAACCTGAAAACCCCACCACCCTTGAAGACTTTACCACAATACATGCATTTTAAGTGCACCTTTCCCCCTTCGTTCAGCGTTTCACAATGTTTCCAACCCACATCTTGTTTATGGCCTGAACTTGTTGACGCCATCCAACTTAAGACCTTAACAATAACAAAAATAACGGCTACATAAGGAAATGGAAAACTATTTCTTGAAATCACAATCATCAAAAGAAATTCAGAAGAACTAAGACCCCATAAAATGTTTATCATAATTGAGAACTAAGAACCCACAAATGTTTATCATAATTCCAGAAATTCAGAAACAAAACAAGCTCAAACAGTCTAAAAAATGTCATGCCTGGGGTTTTGCAGAGAAGAAAGAAAGGTTTATAAAAATAAATAAAAGATAAAAAGTGGGCAGACCGGTTAAACAGCAGCGACTCGTTTGTAATCGACCCAATTGGTTTCTGGTTTCACAATCACCGGTGATCTGCTCGTGGATTAGTCTTGCGAGAGGATAAATCGAAGCTTTTTGCAGGTCTGGTCGCCGTATAAACCAGCAGCTGACGGGAGCTTTTGGGTGAACCGATAATTGGTCTGGTTCTTAATCTAGGTTAGGTTTTGATATTTCCGAAGGGGGATGGAGTCGATGGTTGGTTTCTTCTTTTTCTAATTAGTCTTACTACCACAAAATTTAATTTGACTGCCTAAACTTTATCAAAATTTCAGTTTAATCCCCTATGTTGTTACTCTAACTGCAGCCTTCAATTTTTAGTCAATTTCCTTCAAGAATTACAATTTTTCTTGAATTGAGAATTTGTGACACCAATCCTTTAAATATTAAAATTATTTATTTTAATACCTCTGAACTTTAAGATAATTTACCTTTTGTCTTAATGCAAGCCAAGATTATTTAAAATTCTTTAGATGACATTGAATTATTGTTATATGATTTTTGGTGTACAAATTTTTATATTACTAAGAATCGACCCTAGGCATATTGGTGACTATACTTAGAAAAATTGAATACAGTAATTTGTTTGATTAAGCTTCAAAGCATGATTACTCTTTTAGCGATTGATTTTGTAGATTTGTTCTAGAACTTGATTTTGTTGGGTTAGACCTAGGTTTTATAAGTGACTTTGCTCCATATTATAATGCTATGAAATCCATCATACACTAAAATATAAATATATTCTTACAGTTTTATTAATAATTATATAAAAAATTATTGGAGGAATTAAAATCTCAAATTTCATTATGTCAAGTAATAAATTTAACAACTATAAATTATAAATATAGGTCTTTGAACCCTAAATATCGTTGGAACTACAATATGGACTTTTCCATTTTGATCAAAATGATAAATATAATATTTAATGACCAATCAAAAATATAAGAAAGGTTAGAAAAGTGTCTCCCTCAAACACATATATTTAAATAATTATACAATTTAATTAATTAAGGACATATAGGTTTTTCAATCCTAGCTTAGGATGCATCTGAATGTTATCTTCCTAACAATTAGTGAATTATTATAAAAATAGAGAATTAAATCCATATAATTCTTACACTCTATTTGGATGGGAAAAAAAGAAAATAAGAGAAAATTTAGGAGGAAAAAAAATTTGCAGCCTTTTCTTTCCGAGTTCATCGTTTCTCAATTTCATCAAATAAGAGAGAAAATGATGAAAGATAAGAGTGAAAATTTCACGGTTTGTGAGAAATCACAAAAATAACCAATGCTACCATTTATAGATTCACTTTCTCAAATTCATTTTAGAAAAATTTTTTTCTTCTTATTCAAAAATTCACAATTTAAACTAAAAAGATTTAGTAAAAGATTTGCTAAAATCAAACTATCAAGGTTTCAAATCTAACTAAAAACAAATAAATTAAGATATGTGGGATGAACTCATGTTTAACAAATAAAAGAGGTAATTAAAAAATAAAAATAATTATAGAGATGATGGGCAAAGAAGAATATAAGCTTCCAAACATTCATGAAGAGTACCTCGTCTCTAAGTAAACTTAGGGCCTTTAAAACCCAGGTCCAGAAGGTTTTAGTTCCAAACCAGGAAACGAAACTTCTACAAATACCAACTCTCGAATGAGAGTCCCCTTGACGCTCTTCTGCTAACAAAATAGAATTAAAATCCTATGCTAGGATCCAAGGAGCCGCCATTCCTTCATTAATAGCTTGTAGGGAGTCCCATAAAGGTGCCTGCCTACTTTCAACCAGACTCCTATAAACAGCAGTAAAAAAATATAGAAACAATTTTGTTACATAAAAGTTGACGGTGAATGAATTGTTTATGACTCATCAAAATGTTAGTAGTCCAGGATTCCTGCCACAAGATCCATGCCACCAGAAAGCCTATTTGGCTCCACTCTATGAGAAGAATGAAAACTCAATTTCTTAATCACTTTATCTGCCCTCACCCCACCAATTCTTAGTTCCAGAAGTACCAAAATAGAAGGACGATGGACCTACAATTGGAGCTTCAAGAAACGCAGAAAAGCGGTGCTACCTGCACGGTAACAGTTCCATACAAAAATGAACATGGATATGAGCACAAAAATCAGTCCCTCAAGTAGGGAAAAAATTATTCTGAGCAGAGGATAAAGGCTTTGTAAAGCAATCACAAGCTGCAAATGAGAAGACAAATGTGAAGGAATGATAAAGCCTTGTTTGAACTGGTCATGTACTATGTGGCAATCAATACCCAAATATTTAGTCCGCTTATGAAACACAGGCTTTGTAATAATGTGTATCGCAGGTAAATAAAGCGAAAGTTGAAAATCTTTCAACAAGGAATCCATAAAAGCTCACATACTGTAGAGGACATACTCCAATACTCAGCCTCCGCAGGAGACCTAGAAACTGTAGCTTATTTTTAGTCTTCCAAGAAACCAAAGCATCTCTCAAAAATATACAAAAACCCGTTAAAGATAGTCGAGAGAAAACACAGGAAGCCCAATCCACATCACAAAATGCCTTTAATTGAAAAGAATTTACAGTAGGATAAAACAAACACTTAGATGGAGAAGACTTAAGATATCTCATAACATGCAAAGCAGCATCTAAATGGGGCTGTCTAGGAGTAGACATAAATTAACTCAGATGTTGCATAACGTAGCTAATATTTGGTCTGTAAAATTGATGTACAATAGTTTATTAATGAGTTGTCTGTACTAATCAGGATCAGATAATAGAGAACCATCATCCATAGAAAGTTTAAGTCCTTTAGACAAAGGAAAAGAGGCTGGCTTAGCATTAGATAGACCACACTCAGTAAGAATATCAAGGATAAATTTCCTTTGACTAATAAAAGTTCCAGAATCAGACCTGGCTACTTCTAAACCCAAGAAGTATTTAAGATAACCAAGGTCCTTAATAGTGAATTTAACATCAAGAGCAAGTTTAACTGCAGAAATAGCTTCAAAATCGGTACCAGTAATCAAAACATCATCACATAGACCAATAAAGCCAAAAAAAGATCACCAGAAGTTTTAATAAAGAGACGATGATCATTAACAAATTGAGTGAAGCCTAAAGTAAGCAAAAAGGAAGTGAATTCTAGATTCCACTGTCTAGATGCTTGTTTCAAACCATAGAGATATTTTCTAAGAAGATAAACCTGACCAGGTTTAGCCTTGGGATAACCAGCAGGTGGCTTCATGTAGACCTCTTCATCCAAGAACCCATGAAGGAAGGCCTTATTTATATCTAATTGAAAGATACGCCATGCTTTAGCAGTTGCAATAGCAATAAAGAGCCTAACAGTGACTAATTTGGCCACAGGGGAAAACCTATCTTTATAGTCTATGCCTTCTATTTGATTATAACGTTTGGCTAAAAGTCTAGCCTTAATCTATCAACTTCACCAGAAGGCTTAAAGTTGACCTTATACACTCATTTAGAGCCAATAGCATTTTTACCCTTAGGAAGATTAGTAAGTTGCCAAGTGTCAGTCTTTTCCAAAGCTAAAATTTCTTGATTCATAGCTTGAACCCAATTAGAATCTTTAGAAGCAATATGATATGAAGTAGGTTTAGAATAGAAGAAACATTATTAATGAATGAAGTATAACAGAAAAAAAAAAGAAAGATTAGAAGAAGAAAAAGAATCACTTGAAATGAAATGCTTATTACTGTTGGAAACACTAGAGCCAGCAAAAATAACAAAGTCTTGAAGCCAAGGAGGTTTATAAACTATTCTAGTACTTTTCCTTAGAGGTTGAACAGGTGAGGAAGCTGTAATTTTTGTAGCTGGTTGTAAAGGAACAACTATAGGAGGATGTAATGAGTTTGAAACAGCAGGTAATGGGGATAATGAAGGTGTAGGATTATCTGGTTGAGGTACTATCTCAGAAGAAGGAGAAGAATGTGGTAAATGATTAACAGGATGTGAATTAGGAATAGCAGAAGAAAGAAAATCACAATCACAATCAGAAGAAATAACAAGTATAAGGGGGTAAAGAAGGAGAAGGAGAGACACAAGATTAAGATTTAAAAGGAAATATGTCTTCAAAAAAGGTGACATCTCTACTAGTGAAGATTTGCTTAGTTTCAAGATTATAGAGTTTATAACCCTTTATAGAAGAGACATAACCTAAGAAAAGAGACCTAATAGCTCTAGGAGAAAATTTGTCTTTGTGAGGAAAAATATTTGTAGCAAAACAAAGACAACCAAAGGTTCTAAGAAAGCTACAATCAGTTTGTTTATCATATAGTTTTGCAAAAGGAGAAACCCAACCAAGACAAGACATAGGTAACCTATTTATTATGTAAGTAGCAGTAAGAATACATTTAGACAAAAATGTAAAGGAACAGAAGAGTAATGTTGTAAAGCTCTAGCTATTTCTAGAAGATGTCTATGCTTACTTTCAACAACTCCATTTTGTTGAGGAGTGTGAACACAAGTGGTTTGATGAATAAGACCTTTAGAATGAAAAAATTGAGAACATTGGAAATTGACAACTTCAGAACCATTATCAGTTCTGATAGTTTGAATAATAGCATGAAATTGAGTTTGAACCATATCAAAGAAGGAAGTGATTACAAAAAAACATTGACTCTTTTGTTGAAGCTTAAAGGTCCAAGTAGCTCTACTAAAATCATCTACTATAGGAAGAAAGTATCTAGCTCCTGTTATACAAGTGACATAATAAGGTCCCCAAATATTAAATTAGTTAAAAAGAATGAGTAGACTTAATAGAGCTTAAGGAAAAAGGAAGCCTTGTTTGCTTAATAATAGGATACGTTTGACAAGTAACATGCTTAATGACTTAAGGAAAGGAATATGATCTAGTCTAATATGTGATGGATGGCCTAATCTAGCATGCCACAATAAAGAATTAGAATCAGCTTTTAAAGTAACAACAGGTTTAGAAGTGACAGAGAAAGAATTACCCAAGGCAGTTTTATTTAGGGACAAAGGCTTAGGCACATGTAAAGAAAGAAATTGTTTCAGTTTAACAAGCATAGTACTAATAACAGAAGCATCAAATCTTGACTTATGCAACTTGTGCAGTCCTCCCTCTAGTAAAACAACGACAATAATTATGTCATTCTTCAGGTCTTGAAAGAAACAACTAAACGAATAGAAGTCAATTTTGATTAAGTGAGTTTTTAGAAGCTTACTCACGGACAAGAGATTGAATTGAAAAGAGGGAACAAAAGAACATCATGAAACTGAAGAGATTGAAAAGAAGTGGAACCTACTTGAGTAACTATATTGACTTCTCCATTGGGCAAAAAAAATAGAGATAGGATAGACAAGAGCAGTAAAAGAAGTAAACCAGCTATGATCATGTGACATATGGTCTGTTGCACCAATGTCAATGATCCAAGTTTTAGCACAAGGAATTTGAACACAACAAAATCTGATAAAACTAAAATTACCAGCTAAATCAGTTGAATTGGGATTATAGGCAACGACAACAACACTTTTCTTTTTTAAAGAGCTTTAATATCTCTTGGTGTAGGGTATTAGCCAAGGTAGAACCCCATTCCTCATATTATGAAGTAGAAGGCGAAGTAAAATTATCCAAAGGTGTGAAATTCTCCTTATTGGTGCTATTGACAGCAGCCACCAATTTCTGAGAATCAGAGTATGAGTTCCCTTTGTTGCCTTTGTACCAATCAGGAAAACCAATGACCTTAAAGCAGTGATCCTTAGTGTGACCAGATCTATTACAAACTTCATAATGATTAGTGAGTTTAAAACAATTTTCCTTCAAATGACCTGCTTTATGACAATAGTCAGAAAATCCTTTCTTTGTAGTAAATCTAGAGGAATCAAACTTGAAGGATAAGTGATGTTTAGCTAGTAAAGCTGTTGAAGAAATAGGTTTTGCAAAATTGGATACCACAAGCCTCTGTGACTCAACTCGAAGTATCATAGAATAAGTCTTGTTTATAGTAGGAAAAGGATCAAGTAAAAGCAACTGATTTCTAACTTGATTGTATCCATCATGTAATCCCATGAGAAATTGCACCAGCCGACTTCTATTTGTGATATCAGTTATAGCCTTAGAAGCTCCACATGTACAAGCAGGCAAAGGATTAACAGAAGCTAATTCATCTAAAAGCTCCTTCAACTTCATGTAATAAACTGAAACAGAATCATTCTCCTGAGAAATAGATGCTATTTTCCTCTGAATTTGATAAATCAAAGCTCGTTACTTCCCCAAATCTCTTTTTGATTTCACTCCACAGCTCATGTGCAGTAGTGGTATACAAGAAGGCTTCAACTAAATCTTTAGAAATAACATTTAGAATCCATGAAGTGACCATATAATCACAATGTTGCCACTAATCAAATTGATCTGAATCTTCATCAGACATCTTAACTTTCCCATCTATAAGCCCTAATTTACACTCAGCCCCAATCTTCATAGCTTTACTCCAAGTGCAAAAATTAGATCTATTCAAAGGTGCAATGACTAGGATCATACCTGGATGATCAGAAGATTGAAGATACAAAGGATCTCCATTATCGTAATTTGAGCTTTTGTTCAACACCGAATCTCTTTTTCTAGAACTTTCAGGTGTATACTCATTAGCTTCTTCCAACGCCATGTTTATGCTCGAAATCAATAGTCAATCAAAATCCAAAACGAATTTCAAGAAGAAACCCTAACAAAATTGATCGATTGCAAGCTCTGATACCATGATAATGGAACTTGTTAGAAGAGAATAAAAAGCAATCGAGAGAGAAAGGGAGAGAATGAAATGTGATCTGTATCTCATTAATTGTGTGTATTGTATCAGTTAGGAGAATAAGCTAACATTCCTATTTATAGTTTATACACGTAAGCAATAATAAAATATAATAAATTATACAATACTTCCACATGCTTAAAATTAAAAAATTTGCCATTGAAACACTCAGTAGAATTAGAAGGTATTGAGATCGTAGAGTGAGAGGTTGTTTCCTCTTCATTCCTTTTGATAATTGCATTGATTTTTCCTTAAAATTTTTATGAGCATGAATATTTGTTCCAACAATTGGTTCCTTATTAGGAGTTACGGAGCCATAATTTTTTATTAGGGGGCAAAAATATCATTTCATACGAGTAAATATATATTATATGGTCAAAATTTTTTTAATGAAAATATTATAAATAACCACAAAATAATATAGATATTTAATATAAGTAATAACTTTCAATAGGAAAAAAACGATAACATTCTAAAACTTTTATACTAGAAATTACAATGAAAATAATTACTATTGTTTAAAATTTTAAATATATTATTGTAATTTTAAAGTTCAATGTTCTTTAAAGTATTTTAATGAGCCGAGGTAGAATTAGTTCATATATTTTATTTTGATTGCATTTCGTGTTTTATAATTTTTACTTCAAAATGAATGATTTAATATTGAAACATATACACAATTTGATGTTGACGCACCATTATAGAAAAAATATAATTTGTCATAAAACTAGATGAAATTATAATTTACCATAATCTTAAAAATATTAATTTTAATTATATATTGGAATTTGTTTGATAAATTTATGTAAATTATTACTAAAACAACTATTTCTTTAATTTTCAAAAATTAAAAATTTTGTTTTTAAAATATTTACTCAAGAAAATGAAATTATGAAAATACAATATAGCCTATCATTACAGTAAAAAAAAATCAACTTTGAATAAGTTTGAAATTTTATCAATTTGATTTCATATTATTTTTAAAATATTAAAATTTGATCATAAGTTATAATGTTAAATCAATTTATTTAAATAAATTAAATATCATGTGTTTATTCAATGAATTTATAATTTTAAAATTTCTACAAGTTGTTAAGTTTTAATTAAATAACAAATAATGAACAATTAAATTATAAATAAATATTTACTTTTCTTTAATAATTTTTATAGATAAACTGTTCAGAAAGAAAATACGATTGTAAAAAGGAAAATAGCGCTAATTTTTATTATAATTTATAAAGACCTAAGTAAAATTAAGATATACTTTGAAAAAGGAAATAAAAATAAAAGTTTGCTAAGGTTATCACTTAAATTCAGGTCCAATAGCTTGAGTGAAAATGGAAAATGCCACTAAGCTACTAAGATGTCAATGACAAAATGAAGCACTAAGTGTTTTTATTGAGGCTGGGGGTGGTCGTCCCCCTAGAACCCCTCTACCTCTGTCACTGCCTAGTAGTTTCCTTCATAGTCTCAGCCGTCTCCTTATGAATCTCCTCCTCTATCTCGGTTAAAACTGTAAACCTGTTGCTTCTACCCTCACTACCGGTCTCCTTTTGGGCAAGTGGCGTCCTCCCCCTATGTGCAACGACCATCCAGAGTCACATTTTGTGGCTTGCTCTGCGCAGTTCACAGGCTCAGAACGTGGGTTCTCATTCTCCTGCTCCAAAATCTCAGTAGACTTGAATGGGCAGTAATTAACATGGTGACCTAATGTCCCGCATTCAAAACATAACTCAAGCAAACTTTAATATTCCACCTTTTGCACTTTGCCATTCAATTTAAATTGTGCAATAAGAGGCTTCTTGTTGGTTTGGTGGCTCAATCCCACATCGGGATTTTAGCAAGGGAGAGGGTGGCCTCTCCTCTATATAAGGACCGTACCTCCTTCAATTTTAGATGTCCCAACTTGTCTTTCAATACCTAGTGGGTTAGACAAGTTTCTCTTCTCTCTCAATTTGTATATTTCTTCAGTGAAATATAAATTTGATAGTGTCTGAGGACGTAAGAAAAATTGGCTGAACCTCATTAAAATTCTGGTGTTCTCTCTTATTTATTGCTTTGTTTTTATTTATTTAATAGCTATTGTTGGGAAAAAAATATTTTGGTGGTTATTGTCTAATTAATTGCATGTCTAGGTAAATTCTGTCAAACGACACGAATTTTCCTTTTGGGGCCAAGTGGCGTCTCTCTGGGACTCCCCTATGTCGCAAACAGACCGTTTTACAAGAGTCACAATTTTGTGGCTGTGGCTCTGCCGCAACAGATTCACGGACGCCTCAATACGTTGGGGGGCAGTTCTATCATTCTCGTTTCTGCTCCACAAAAATCTCAGTAAGACATTGAATTTGGGCACAAGTAATTTAATAACATGGTTGACTCAATGTCCGCATTCAAAAGCATGACAACTCAAAAGCAACGTTATTAATTCACTCCAATTTTTGCAATTGAATCGCTCCTTTTTGCACTTTGCCATTCAATTAAATGTGCAAATAATGAGGTCTTACTTGTTGTGCGATTTGGTAGGTCTCAAAAAGCTCCACATCGGGATTTTTAGCGAAGGGAGAGGTGGCCTATCTTGAGAAGTTCCTCTATATAAGGACCCCACCTGACCTGCCTTCCATTTTTAGGAGTGTCCCAGACATTGTCTTTCCAAAAGATACCTAGTGGGTTAGACAAGTAGTAGTTCTCTTTCTCTCTCCATTTCGTATAAGTTTTCTTCAGATTGAAAATATAAATTTGATAGTGTCCTGAGGAACGTAAGAGATAAAATTGCTGAACCTCATTAAAATTCTGGTGTTCTCTTTCTTATTTATTGCTTTGTTTTTTAAAATTTATTTAAATAGCTATTGTTTGGGAAAAAAAAATATTTTGTGGTTTATTTGCATCCTAATTAATTGACATGTCTAAAAGGGTATAAATTCGCTTGTACAAACGACCAACGAATTTAGTCCCAGGCAATGAATTTTAAGTGAGACCGTTTGTGATCCTCCACGGGATATCTGAGAATTATACCGGGGTGGTGTAGTTACTCAAGTAACAGTAAATGGGTTCATAGAGAAAAATCAATTTTTTTTAATTTGGTGGAAAAAAGCTCAATTTCCAACAACAATTGGTCCTCAGAGCTAAGGTTGTTAGGTGAAGTTATTCACGTGGGGTTCGCATATGCATAGTCTAGATCTGGCACATAAAAAAGGGTTCCTTTGGGTTGTGTTCCGCCATTTTGAAAAAGCTCGTATTTTATTATATATAGCATTAATCTCAAACATTATTTCATAAGCAGTATAGAGTGCACAAGATGTGAAAAGAAAAAATACCACAAACTATGCCCTACAGACCGCATCAACCTTAGAAAGAAATTATTTGGGACTTCCAACTTTAAATTCTTACACACAATATGTTGTATTCAAAATGCAAGATTTACAGTGGAGATTTTTTCGATGGCCAACTGGTCATTTTCGGCAATGTGGCAGAGGAACTTCTAGACGCTCTTCTCTTTTTCCTACAAGTGTTTTATTTAGATGTTGGACTGAATTTTTGAAGATTTTACAGCTATTAAAAACCAGAGAGAAAATGAAAGATGGAGAGAGAAAAGAGAAATGAATAAGGAGGAACCATACACACACTCGTATACTGGCAAATGTGTGTTAACAATTCCGCGGATCGATTGGTCTTTGCAGAGAGCAAAATATGCTTCGCTTCGAAAAGAAACGTATCTGCAAACAGAAATATGGTATTGGAAGGTCATTGGCGAGGAGTAAAAATATGGGTTTATGAACGAAGAGAGGATCAATATCAGAAACAATCATAGAAGAAGAAATTGTATTCGCTTCAATTAAATGGTTACCTGGTAACCAAACTATGTTAATGAAACACACATCAACAAAGTTTAATTCCAGTGGTTGGCTGATTTTGTTAATGGTATGTATGATATTTCGGAGATGAAGAAAATTAGCATTGTTGTTGCTCGGCTTCTCTTCCTGATTTCGAAATATTGGAACCATCTATTACTATATGACTCTAATCAACGGGAATAAAAGATGTGAACTTTCAGTGGAGAAAGTTTATTCCGGCTGATCTTTACAGCCATTGAAAGTTGAGAAAAGATAAGAAAAGAAAGGAAAAGGCACTGAAGTAGTAGAAGCTCTGGTGGTTAGAGGCCGTTCATGAAGCCAAAAGAAAGGGGGAAAGAAAAGTAGATCCTATTCAAAAGCCAGAGTTGAAAAAGATGAGTGTGCCTTTTGTCATGAGAAAAGTCACTGGAAGAAAGATTGTCCCAAGCTGGTGTGCCTTTTGTCGTGAGAAAGGTCATTGGAAGAAAGATTGTTCAAAGCTGAAAGCCAATGGCAAATTAAAGCTGTTATTGATTCAAACATAGCTGGGTATGATGATGCAGACTCAGACTTCTCATTAGTTATCATGGCATCTATAGACAATTCATCAGCAAATTTGACAAGTTCTGGTGAGGTATGGCTACTAGACTTTGCATGTAGTCATCATATGAGTCCCCATCGGGACTAGTTTTTTAACTTTAAATAACTTGAAAATGAAATTGTCTATACGGCAAATAATGTTCCTTGCTTCACAGAAGGTCGATATGTACCGAGTTTGACAAAGAATCTCATTTCAGTGGTAATCCTAGAATCAAAAGGACTCACTATAATTGCGAAAGATGGAATGATGAAAGTCATCTAGTTTTGAACAAAAAGAATCGTCATTTCCAGTGGGATCCTGAATTCAAAAAGGACATCACTATATATTGCGAAAAGATGGAATGATGAAAGTCATCTCGGGTGCAAACTTGTGGTGATTGAAAGGAAAGTTAATCGGAGAGAGAGAAATAATTTTGTATTAACTATTGAAGGTATAAACAATTATTGGAGTCAATAGGGAGTAAGTTGTTTCTAGTAGATTAAGAACAAAGAGTTGGAAACAACCAGAATTGTAGGGAAATAGGCCGCTTGGGACATGCAGGTAGAGAAAAAGTCTTGAAAAAGTTTGGCAAGAAAATTTAGTGATTGATTGGGAAAGAACGTTCTAAACCTGGCAACGTTGGACCT